GTGTTGCATTGCGATAATTAGTGCTTGAGCTTCATTCTCTAGGGCGTTTGATAATATTCTTTCAGAAGCTTGTCCTGCTCCTTCAAAAAGAGGCCATCGGAATCTCTTAATATCCATCTTGCCTTTGATTGTATCCGTGGAGTAAAAGATGCGTCGTAGTTGCATTTCAAATATCCTTGTTCTGGTCTTGTCCAGAGCTTGGCATTCTCATGTTCCCTTGTGCTTGTATCGTAATACATATGCTGAATGTTACTTACATGTTCATGAGCATCAAGCCATTCAGTTGCATCATGTTTTGCTGTAATCATGCGATTTAACGTAAGTTAAAGCTGTGTTTAAAGATTCATTAGCATTGGTATAAAACTCGATGCAATTACGTAACGCTACTTTAACATTAGGTAAAGTTTTCCTGTCATTGAATTTTATTTTTGAGCATTTCCTTTTACATTGATCATGTTGAAGGCATCATTCTGAGCAATCCTTGGAGATTTGTTGTGCGGTTTTGCTCTGCGGATCAGATACAAGAGATCTAAAGCAGAAAGCGTAACCAAAATTTGGATTTCTCGCTGCAGCTTTCTTGCAAAAAAATTGAATTAGAGTTTGGGCGGTTGCAAAATAGTTCAAGAAGAGAACAAACATAAGAAACTGATTATATTTAATAATTTTTGTTAGAATAGAACTCACGTAACACCATATTCTCTAGGCACTAAACTAAGATATATGGGCAATGCTATTTAATCAGGTAAGGAATGATGATCACGTTGAAGAGAACATCGTTCTCTTTCTTCACCGGAGATATCTGTTGATTGTCGCTGTTGAATTCTAATTGGTAAAGTATATATCGGTCCATTTTTTGCATTATCAAAACCATTTGAAGCCTTATCGAAATGCCCTCACCTTGAGATACTTTAGAGCTGAGTAGTTGGATCAGCATTTAACATGTTTTCTATTGCATTTATCCTTTCGGTTTTGTTTAACCGGATTGAACACACTTAAATACCGGAAACTGTATTGTAAAAAGCACCAAAAATAAATCAACAGTGGTATTCAATTTCAAAAATATTTTCGGTTTATCTAAAGCTTCTGTGAACTGTAAAATTTGCAGATAATAAAGACTTAAAAAAAAAAAGCTAGAGGCAGCGAGCAAGCTTATTACGATTTTATTATCATCTTTAATCCGTGTGTTAATTACACTTCAAGTTCATTTCATTATAACATGCTTGTAAAAGCTACAGGAATCAGAACCGTCTGAGACAAAGCATCGTTCTGTGTCGTAAATGGAGATTTCTGAGGCGTTTTGCTTTCTTTGAATCTAGTTTCGCAAGAGCTCGGCGCATCCACTGCGGCATTCATAGTCTTGGCAGCGTTTTTGTAATCGCGCTTATCAAGGCTCCTCAAAGATCTGATTAACAAAGTTTCAGCGGTGGTGTAAGCGAAGAGGCAATCGCGCAAAGGCATCTCACTGCCTTTAGCGTATTTCTTCTCCTTGAGAATCTTATCAACGCATGTTTTCAAACTCCTCATTTCCGTCATGGCTTTCGTCGTCGATGCCATGACCAAGTCGAAGAGAGTTTTTGCGGCTTTGCTCTGTGGATTTGCTTCAAGAGACTTGACGCAGATCTCGACTTTCATATTCGGGCTTTTAGCTGCTGCTTTATTGCAAGAGTCTCGTATGAGAGATTGTGCGGTTGCAAAACCGTTTAAGAGGAGGAAGAACATAACAAAGTAAAGTGAGAATTTCATTTTTGTTTTGTTTTGTTTTTGTGTTTTTTGAAGAAAGTTTCAACTTCTGTGATCCAATTTATAAATAATGAAACGAAAAGACTTACGGTTGTTGTTTTACGTCATGAAATTGTTTAACTAACATATCGGCTTTGTTTTAGAAGGCTCATGTCACGCTTTACCACATTCCCTTACGTCATGTGGCATAATTGTTCGTATTAACACTCTTTTACTTATTATTATACATCGTCGTTTCTTGGCTATTTTCTTATTTTGAATAAAACATTTTTCATGGTAAAAAATAGATAAATGTGTATTAAAAATAGAATAGACAAATGTATCTAATTCTCTATGAACAAAATTTTAATCACGATTAAAGATGCCATATACTACAAAATCATGATTGATGTTTAATATTTTTCACACAAATGAATAATAATAAAAATGGTTCTTTTAAAATAAAAAAGCTTTACAACTTTAACCAAAAAAAACTGCAAAATACAATTAGTCATAGAAAATAAAATAAAATTTTAATAAATTTCATTGATTTGAAAACTTAAACAATTTGAAACAACAAAAATTCACTTAATCGATCCTTTTTTTTAATGGATCAAGGAAGTATATAATGCATAATTAGTTATGCAAACCCAAATTGACCGTTCAAGAAGAAGATTGTTCCCATAACACAAAGGTACGTATAGAAGCAGAATCATAAATGCTATGCCATAAGGGCGTTTTTAATTCAACATCCAAGAAATTGTGATAAGTGATCACATCATCTCGCCCATTGTGTAATACACACCAAAAGTAACTCATATGAGCATATTGGATATCGGAAAAGCAAAAATTATTTGAAAAAATAACACATTAACGCTAAACCAAAAAATTGAGATATTTTCTCTTAATTTTATTTTAGTAAACACTAATTCATGATAATAAACAAAAAATATACTTTACTAATTTCATCACATTATGTTTGAAAAAGTTAAAAGAATCAAATTCCTCTCAGTTAAAACATTGTTCTCCTTTATAACTAGAAATTTTGCATTAGCAAAAAAAGAAATATTCTCTCTGTTTTAAAATAATTGTCACTTCAACACTTTTAACACAAATTAAGAAAATTATTAAAAGTTCAGTTTTACTTTTTGTTTACATAAAATAATATTTTCTTTCTAATTAATACATTAATATAGCAAGGTTAAAACATAATTTTTGTTTAAAAATTTACATTGAAAATACAAAATGACACTTTTTGTGAAACAAAAATAAAACTCTAAAATGATATTCTTTTTGAAATGGAGGGAGTAATAATAAATTAGAGATTTCACTGGCTTGCCTTCTTTAAATCCATCTTCATAATTGCTCGGTGCATCGAAAGCAGCACTCAATTGCACATAAGCATTGCTGTAATCGTGCAATTTAACAGCAATTAAAGCTTCGTTTAAAGAATCAGTAGCATCATCATAAAACTCGATGCAATAATCACGTAACAATGTTTTAATAGCAGGTGAAATTTTCCCATCATTGAAAATATTTTGAGTGATTCCTTTCACCTTAATCGTGTTGGACGCAGCATTTTTATTGATGCTATGAGCAATCCTAAGACACTCATTGCGGTTTTGCTTTGCGGATCAGATTAAAGAGATGTGACATAAAAGTTGTAATTCATGTTGGGATCTTTTGCTGCAGTGCTCTTGCAAGTATTTCGAATAAGAGTTGGTGTAAATGAAGAGGCAACTGCGTAGTGGCATCTCATTGTCTTTAGCGTATTTCTTCTCTTTGAAAATCTTATCAACGAATGTTTTGAAGCTCGTCATTTTCTTCCTGGCGTCCGTCGTCGATACCACAACCAAGTCGAAGAGAGTTTTTGCGCTTTTGCTATGCGGATTCGCTTGAAGAGACTTGACGCAGATTTCAACTTTCATATTTGAATTTTTAGTTGCGGTTTTATTGTGAGAATCTCGTATGAAGGATTGTGCGGTTGCGAAACCGTTTTTTAAAAAAAAAGAACATAACAAGGACAAGCAAGAATTTCATTTCTTTGGTTTTGTTTTTGTTATGTTACAATTTTACATAACTTTGTTTAATAAAGTTAATTAATTAATAATTTATATTTTTATTATATAAGGGTTAACACGATAATTTTTAAATTTGTAATAACTCGATGAACATGATATTTTTGTGATAAGATAAATAGTTTAATATGACATATTTTTTTTATTATTATATGATAATTGAATTAATATATTATTTTTTTATCATGCGTTAACTAAGTAATGTTGTGGGAGAGATGGTGACAGTAACAGGAGAGTGGTTAAAAACTTAAAAGTGTTACTGGGATTTTACAAAATTTTCAAACTAATGAAATAACTATAATGAAAAGTACTTTTAAGGTTAAAAAATGTTTATCTCTATTTACTATCTAATATTAAATTATCTATTTTCATTCTTAATTATTTGGTCAATTTATATTCTTTAAATTTGCCTAAGTTTTTTCACACAATTTTGTTTTTTTTTGTTTTTTTCTAAATAAAAAATATTTCATTAACTATCAACACAATTTAATCAATAATAAAATAAACTAAAAATATAAATAATCATAAAACATAAAAAAAATACATTGAATTGCAAAACATCAAACAATTGTAAACAACAAAATTTCTTTTACACAAATTTTTTTTTATTTTAAAATGGAGAAAGTATGGTGCATAATTAGTTATGTAAACCAGAATGAACTGATTAAGAAGAGTATTCCCATAACACAAAGATATAAGAATCATTTGGTGGTGATCTAGTGATTCTCACTTGAAAATGAGTTTTTCTGTTGGTTTATATGCTAGGGATCATTTCTCTTAAACATAGAATTACTTAAACCATTTTCACTTAGCCATACGGATATGGATCCTTTTGCTTTTAGCTTATTTGAATGCTCGAAAAAATGTCTATCTATAAGCTGCATCTCTCTATAAATTAGTCTGAACCTTTAATAGATAAACAAAAAACACAAAGATGTACGTACAAAAGCAGAATCATAAATGTTTACATTTGTCATAAAGGATTAACATCCAAAAATGGTGATTAGTGATCACATAATCTTGTGGATTATATAATACGTATTCAAAAGTAACTCATATGAGCATATTAGATATCGTAAAAGCAAAAATTATTCTAAAAAATAACACAATGTAACGCTAAACCAAATATAAGATTTTTTTTCTTAAGTTTATTTAGTAAACATTAATCCAATATAAAAAAATACACTGGTAAATTCATCATACCATATTTGATAAAGCTAAAGGAATAAAAATCATCTGAGTCAAAATATTGTTTTTATTTGTAATAGGAGATTTTGCTTGCTGGATTTCTTTAAATCCATCTTCACAATCGGTCGGGGCATCAAAAGCAGCACTCAGATAAATATTAATATTGCTGTAGTCATGCGATTTTAACGTAAGTTAAAGGTGTGTTTAAATATTCATTAGCATTGGTATAAAACTCGATGCAATTACGTAACGCTACTTTAACATTAGGTAAAATTTTCCTGTCATTGATTTTTTTTTGGAGTAATTCTTTTTAGATTGATCATGTTGAACGCAGAATTCTTGATTGATGCTATGAGCAATCTTTGGAGATTTGTTGCGGTTTTGCTCTGGGGATCAGATTCAAGAGATTTAACGCAGAAGGCGTAACTAAAATTTGGATCTATCGCTGCAGCTTTTTTGCAAGAATTTTGAATCAGAGTTTGCACGGTTGCAAGATAGTTCAATTAGAGAAAAAACATAAGAAAGAAAATATATAATTAGGCACTAAACTAAGAAGCATGGGCAATGCTATTGATCAGGTAAGGAATGGTGATCACGTTGAAGAGAACATTGTTCTCTTTCTTCACCGGAGATATCTGATGAATGGTGATCATGTTGAAGAGAACATCGTTCTCTTTCTTCTCCAGAGATATCTCGTGATTGTCGCCGTTGAATTCCAATTTGCAAAGTATCAGTCCATTTTTTGCATTATTATTATCAATCTGTTTGTAAATAAAGTCGGTTTAGTTTAATAGCTCCGGTTTAGGCCTCACTGAATGTGTATATAAACCTACATTTGTATAATTATCAAATTAATGAAATGAGATTATTTCTCTAATATGGTATCAGAGTTAAATATCTCGTTTCATCCGTAACAACCTTCCGCTTACTCCATCAATTCATCGGAATCTCACCGATTTTTCGCTGGATTCCTCCATTTTTCTGTTATCCAAACTCCTCGGCTCCTCGCCTCTCCCCATTCTTGTGCAATTTCAACTCTCTCGCATCGTTGAGGTTGATTTTAATCTTCAATGGGAAAGCGCACTTACAAGTTGAGATATCGTCGTGCTGCAACTGACTCGCCAGGATCCACCGCGGGAATGTCTCTGATCCGTCATGGTGAAGCATCTGGACATCCTCCAGCTCGCAACACTTCTGAATTCGCCAATCGCTTCTCAAGAGGCTCTGATCGTGTGAATGTCATTGAAACTCGCTGATCTCTTTTGACTCCGTCTCGCGATCTTTTCGAGGTATCAGATTCTCCTGACAACATCCATTCACCATATCACTTGCATAGTAGTGGTCATCCTGGCTTAGTTCTAGTCTCTGAACCTCTCGACGGGAATAATTTCAGTGTTTGGCTCATAGCTATGACGACTAGTTTAGAGGCTAAGAACAAGCTTGGATTTCTCTATGGCTCTGTTGTTACTCCTGAAGAATCTGATCCTTACTATAGAATATGGTGTCGCTGCAATAGTATGGTCAAATCATGGTTGTTGAATAGCGTTTCTTGGAAGATCTACACGAGTATTCTCTACTTCAAGAATGCTTCGGATATCTGGAAAGATTTCCATACACGCTTTCATAAATCAAACCTTCCTCGATTGTACAAGCTGCGTCATCAGATTCACTCCTTCCGTTAAGGTAGCTTAGATCTCTCATCCTATCACACTCAGGCTCAAGCTCTTTGGGAAGAACTCTCCAGCATTCAACTCACACCACGTACTGTTGAGAATCTACTTGCTGAGAGAGAAACCAATTGTGTCATTGACTTCCACATGGGTCTCAACGATGGTTATGAGAGTATATGAAGTCGTATACTGATGAAGAAGACTCTTCCCTCTCTTTCTGAGGTTTACAATCTTCTTGATCAAGAAGACAGTCAGAAATCTGCTAGAACATCTCTCCAAAATGATCTCACATCTCCAGCATTTCAAGTGTCTCAATCACAGAATCAAGGATCTGCAATCAAAGCAGTGAGGGTCAGGCTTCACAGAAGAGAGACAGACCATACTGCACCTACTGTGGACGGGTTGGTCACGTAGTTGATAAATGCTACAAGAAACATGGTTATCCTACGAGTTCCAAGCTAAATCAGAGATCTGATAGGTCTTCTTCTGTTGCTGCCAACGTTGTTGCTGATAATCCGGACAGTGATGCGTCAGTTGATGATTTGTCTCCATCTCAGCTACAGCAACTAGTCTCCTTCCTCAGCAGCAAACTTCAGCCTCCATGCTCCACTCCCACACCCGAAGTCCACTATGTCTCTGCATCTTCCGAACCTCTTTCATCAGCTGTTTGCCCAATATCCGGTACATTTTACCCCTCTATCCACTGTTCTTTTACCGGTATTGATAGACCATATGTCTGTTCTCTCAATGGCAACCTTACTACCATTAACGCTTGGGTGATAGATTCAGGAGCTACTAATCACATTTCTCACGAAAAATCTTATTTCACCTCTTTCAAACCTCTTCTAGACACCACTGTTAATCTTCCTAATGGGATTCTTGTGAGCATTGTTGGAATAGGATCTATTACTCTGGGTAGATATCTCTTACTTCACGATGTCCTGTATATCCCTCAATTAAAGTTCAATCTTCTTAGTGTAAGCTCTTTGACTAAAAGCATAGATTGTCGGGTTTGGTTTGACAGATCTGTTTGTGGTATTCAGGATCGTACACGGGAATTAACGATTGGAATGGGTAGACAGGTTGCTAATCTATACTTCTTGGACATTGAGTAGGGTCTTCTACTTCTTGAACAACTTGCTTATCTTCAAGACTACTACTGTCATTCAATAGGATCTTCAACCATTCATGAAATTTTCAGTTTCTTTCATATGATCAGATTTCTCCTCTTTATATTTCATTCTTAGTTTCCATAGACAAAGAAAAAGAACCCCAAACCTATGCAGAGGCAAAGCAGATTTGGTGTGGTGTGGGGCTATGGACAATGAGGTGGATGCTTTGGAGGAGACTGACACATGGACCATTTGCACTTTGCCCCCGAACAAGACTCCTATCGGTTGTAAATGGGTATTCAAAGTGAAGTTCAATGCTGATGAAGCTGTTGAACGCTACAAAGCTCGCTTAGTTGCCAAAGGTTATACGCAACAAGAGGGGATCGATTACAACGAGACCTTCTCTCCAGTGGTTAAACTCACTACGGTTAAGTTGGTTCTCAGTCTATCTGTTATTCAAGGGTTTTCACTTACACAGCTCGACATCTCGAATGCCTTCCTCGATGGAGACCTTGATAAAGAGATTTACATATGTCTCCCTCCAGGATATGCTACTCATAAGGGGGACAAGCTCCCACCTAATATTGTGTGTAAGTTGAACAAGTCCTTGTATGGCCTGAAATAAGCCTCTCGCCAATGGTTCTTGAAGTCTCGAGCACTCTTATCACCTTAGGGTTTACACAGACTCATTCAGATCACACGTGTTTCCTCAAGCTCAGTGATACTCTCTTCTTCTGTGTCTTGGTCTATGTTGATGATATCATCATTGCTAGCAACAATGATTCGGAGGTAGACACGCTTAAATCTCAACTCAAGTTTTTCTTTAAACTTCGAGACCTTGGTCCCTTGAAGTATTTTCTTGGCTTGGAGATTGCTCGCTCTGCAGATGGGATTCACATTTGTCAGCGTAAGTATGCTCTTGACTTAATTGATGAAACTGGCTTACTTGGCTGAAAACCCTTGAGTATTACCATGGATCCAGCAGTGAAATTCTCTAAAGACAGTGGTGGTGACCTTGTTGACGCTGAAGCTTATCGCCGGCTTATTGGTCGTCTGATGTACTTACAGATTACGAGACCAGACATCACTTTTGCTGTCAATAAGCTTAGCCAATTCTCTCAGGCTCCTCGCAAGACACATCAACATGCGGTTTACAAGATCCTTCATTATATCAAAGGCACAATCGGTCAAGGACTCTTCTATTCCGCTAAAGCAGAGCTTCAACTTCAAATGTTTGTTGATGCTGATTGGGTTTCATGTCAAGACACGCGACGGTCTACATCTGGCTACTGCTTGTTCTTAGGTACTTCTCTAATTTCCTGGAAGTCTAAGAAACAACAAGTAGTTTCCAAAAGCTCTGCGGAAGCTGAGTATCGCAGTCTCTCCTTTGCTACTGATGAGTTGGTTTGGCTGACAACTTCTTCAAAGAACTACAGATTCCTCTCGCTAAACCAACCTTACTCTTCTGCGATAACACAGCTGCCATTCACATTGCTAATAATCCCGTTTTTCACGAGAGAACAAAACACATTGAGAACGATTGTCATAGTGTTCGTGAGAGACTTCTTGCAGGATTATTCAAGCTTCTGCATGTTTGTTCTCATCTGCAGTTAGCTGATCCGTTCACCAAACCACTCTATCCTGCACATTTCCAGCAGTTAGTAGGCAAGATGGGTCTTCTGAATATCTTCGTCCTATTTTGATGGGGACTATATATTATCGATCTATTTGTAAATAGAGCCGGTTTAGTTTAATAGCTAGGCCTGACTGAATGTATATATAACCCCACATTTGTATTATTATAAAATTAATGAAATGAGATTATTTTCCTAATAATTATCAAAACCATTTGAAGCCTTATCGAAATCCCTCACCTTGAGATACTCTAAAGCTGAGTAGTTGGATCAGCATTTAACATGTTTTCTATTGCATTCATGCTTTCGGTTTTGTTTAACCGGATTCAACACACTTAAATACCGGAAAATGTATTAAAAGCACCAAAAATAATCAACAGTGGTATTCAATTTCACAAATATTTTCTGTTTATCTAAAGCTTCCGTGATCTGTAAAATTTGCAGATAATAAAGACTTAAAAAAAAAAAACTAGAGGCAGCGAGCAAGCTTATTACGATATTATTCATCTTTAATATGTGTGTTGATTACACTTCTAGTTCATTTCATTATAACATGCTTGTAATAGCTACATGAATCAGAATCGGCTGAGCCAAAGCATCGTTTTGTGTCGTAAACGGAGATTTCTGAGGCGTTTTGCTTTCTTTGAATCTAGCTTCGCAAGTGGTCGGCGCATCCACTGCAGCATTCATAGTCTTGGCAGCGTTTTTGTAATCGCGCTTATCAAGGCTCCTCAAAGATCTGATTAACAAAGTTTCAGCTCTGATGTAAATGAAGCGGCAATCGCGCAAAGGCATCTCACTGTCTTTAGCGTATTTCTTATCCTTGAGAATCTTATCAACAGATGTTATCAAACTCTTCATTTCCTTCATGGCGCTCGTCGTCGATGCCATGACCAAGTCGAAGAGAGTTTTTGCGGTTTTGCTCTGTGGATTCGCTTCAAGAGACTTGACGCAGATCTCGACTTTTATACTCGGGTTTTTAGCTGCTGCTTTATTGCAAGAGTCTCGTATGAGAGATTGTGCGGTTGCGAAACCGTTTAAGAGGAGGAAGAACATAACAAGGTAAAGCAAGAATTTCATTTTTTTTTTTTTTTTTGTGTTCTTTTGAAGAAAGTTTCAACTTTTGTGATCTAATTTATAAATAATGAAACGAAAAAACTTACGGTTGTTGTTTTACGTCATGAAATTGTTTAACTAACATATCGGCTTTGTTTTAGAAGGGCTCATGTCACGCTTTACCACTCCCCCTTACGTCGTGTGGCATAATTGTTCGTTTTAACACTCTTTTACTTATTACTATTATATATCGTCGTTTCTTTTCTTTTTTCTTATTTTAAATAAAACATTTTTATGGTAAAAAAATAGATAAATCTGTAGTAAAGAGTAGAATAGACAAATGTATGTATTGAATTAATTCTCTATGAACTAATTTTTAATTACGTTTAAAGATGCCATATACTTCATTTTAAGATGATTGATGTTTAAAGTTTTTTTACACAAATTAATTTTTACTACATTCTTTCTAAACACAATTTATCTAATGACAAAATAAACTGCAAAATACAAATAGTCATAAAACATAAAAAGTTAATAAATTTAACATTGAATTTATTAGGATACAATACGATATGATCGGATTGTATCCCTTTGAAAACGTGATTAACTAAATGCCTACAATTTACAATATTAAACATTGAATGATAAAAAGTAAAAATTAACACGTCATTTTTCATTTATCTCGCATGTTTTAAATCTATAACTAGTTTTGATAAAAATCTATTCATCTAATAGATACTAGTTAACTAGTTTTGATAAAAAAATCTATTCATCTAATAGATACTAGTTTTTTAGCATTTTGAATTTATTCAGTTTTCAGTTTATCCACCCTATTGATTCTGCTAGTTTATTATTCAGTTATTCTACTATTCAGTTATTAAGTTGACATACCAGTCAAACCTACAGTATAGTTATTATGAATGTTCGACATTTATGAATGTAGATTACTGCAACTCCGTAAATATCTCTGTAATAGTTCTTCGTCAATGGCATTCAGAAAAGCAATATAATTTGATTCCTCTGTTCTTTTACAGAATTGAAAAGATCAAATAATTTGAAACAAACAAATTTCTTAAAAACATGTATTTTTAAAAAAAAAAATGGAGGAAGAATGCATAATTAGTTATGTAACCGGAAAAAACCATTTAAGAAGAAGATTGTTACCAGAACACAAAGATACGTATAAAAGCCATAATAGAGTTTTAGTTCAGCATCCAAAAAAGGTGATCAATGATCGGATGATCAAAGTAACTCATATGAAAATTTTAGATATCGTAAAAGCAAAAATGATTCTAAAAGATAACAGCTAAACCAACGATAAGGTTTTTTTCTCTTAATTTATTTAGTAAACATTAATCCATGATAATAAACAAAAAATACACTTTTGTAATTTCATTACACCATGTTTGAAAAAGCTAAAGGAATTAAAATTCTCTGAGTCAAAACATTGTTCTCATTTGTAATAGGAGATTTCGCTTGCTTGCCTTCTTTGAATCCATCTTCACAATTGCTCGGTACATCGAAAGCAGCACTCAATTGCACATTAGCACTGCTGTAATCATGCGATTTAACAGCAGTTAAAGCTTCGTTTAAAGAATCAATAGCATCGCCATAAAACTTGATGCAATCTTGTAAGGCTGCTTTAACAGCGGGTGAAGTTTTCCCGTCATTGAAAATCTTTTGAGCGATTCCTCTCACGCTAATGGTGTTAGACGCAGCATTCGTCGTTGATGCTATAAGCAATCCTAGGACACTTGTTGCGGTTTTGCTTTGCGGATCAGATTCAAGAGATGTGACGCAGAAATTGTAATCCATGTTGGGATCTTTTGCTGCAGCGCTCTTGCAAGAATTTTGAATCAGAGTTTGCGAAGTTACAAAACAGTTTAAAAAAAGAACAAACATAGCAAAAGAAACAAGAAAGTTCATTTTTTTGTTAACTATTTTTTTCTTGTGAAGCAGAGAATTGAGAATCGATTGATGATGTAAATTCTGAATTTGTGAATCAATTTATAGTAAAAAAAAAAGTGTAATATTGAAACAAAGAATTTTAGAGAATATCTAACGTAGCAGCTATTACTACCATAATGAGCCTAATTGCTCGTTTTAATGGATCTCTTTCTAATTATGTTATTTCGTTTTAAAACTCTTTCCTTATACGTTGTTGTTTCTATTTATTTATAAAATCTTTAACAGATTCAGTTTTAATGATTATCTCTCACATCTTGACCAATTTTATTGTTTGATATTGGTCAACATGTAATATTTACTTTCCATATGTGCATGTTAATTAATCAACTCATTTTAAAATGTGTTTTACATTTAGTCAATATCAAAAAATAATGAACAATCTTCTACCATTATGCCATTTTCGTCAACATATTAATATATAAATAAAATAAAAAATCTGCAACTCAGATATTGAAGCCCCGATATTTAATCAATCATGCTAGCAAGAGAGAAATACAATTGGCACTTGTTGTAAAAGCTGTACAGAGCAAAAGTTTCTTTTGGCAAGAAAGAAATACAATTGAAACCTTGCAAATCATAGCAAGTTTGGTTCAAATATATGCAAATCATGTACGTATTAAAGATATTCTATGAGTAGTGGTGTAAAACCTAAGCTGTATCATAATATGTTCGCCTCTTCGGATATATATATATATATATATATTTTTTTTTTTCTCTATATAAACCGTAAACGACATTTGAATACCGGATCCAACCAGAACATCCGTAACACACAAAACAAAACAATTAATGAGAAACTAATTATATATCTTACAAACTGTCAAGTATATAATCCATACTCACGTAACACCATATTCTCTAGGCACTAAACTAAGAAGTATGGGCAATGCTATTAATCAGGTAAGGAATGGTGATCATGTTGAAGAGAAGATCGTTCTCTTTCTTCACCGGAGATATCTGTTGATTGTCGCCGTTGAATTCCAATTCGCAAAGTATCGGTCCATTTTTTGCATTATCAAAACCAGTTGAAGCCTTATCGAAATCTTTCAGTTTGATATACTTTAAAGCTGAGGTTAACGATTGATACCCCTCGTTGTAAAGCTTAAGACAATCTTCCAATAGCTTCTTAGTAAGCCCACTCTTGTATCTCCTCTCTTTTACAATCTTCTCCACAATGTTTTTCACGTTTGTTAGGTTCGATATTGCGTTATTCGCTCCTACCACGGTCAAGTCATCCATATTTCTCACTTTCTGGCTCTCCCGATTCTCTTTGAGAGATGCTATACAAAGGTTATAGTATTGTGGATTGTTTATCGCACTTGGATATTCTGAAGATTCCTTGCAAGTTTTTTGAATAAGTGAATCTGCCACTTTGTTGGCCGTGAAACCATTGAAGAGGAGAACGAACATCGCGAGGTAAATCAAGAACTTCATTATGTATGTATTTTGTTGGGAGAATTATGGGTAACTTGTGATCCAACTTATAAGCAAACACATGAGAATATGATTCAAACACACATGCTTTTTTTAGATGGCTCATCTCGTGTCACGCGTTGCCACTCCGCTTACTTCGTTGCTTTTATTTTTGGGGACCAATCTTTGTTTGTTTTCGTTGCCTATTTTTATTTGTTCATTTTACACTTTTTTTTTGTATAGGTTGCTGTTCGACTTCTTTTAAAAATATATGTAGATGTACTTTTTTAAATAGTACAATCAAAATGGAAAATAAGATTCAAACATTGTAAAACGGACCAACGGTGACCATTTAGAACTCGCAGGGATTTGGAGATTATGAAAAATATGTTTTTGTCAAAAGTCTACACAAATATACATGGAACAAATTCGCTATTATACATTTGAAATAAACACAACAATAACCCATAAGTCTCTCCATGACTTGACACATCAGCATTTTCAAGCTTTTAGAAAATAACATTTCAGCAAAAAAAAACATCAATAAAAATATTTCATTAATACAACTCATCAATTTATTTTAACTTTTAAATTTAAACCCATTAAAAACTCAAAATACTTTTTATTGTTAATTTTAGTTTTATTTTTTGGTCAAGCCCAAGCCCAAATAATTAATAACAGCAAATAAAAAAATTTGTTTTATTTTTAACAAACTCAAATAATAAATAACAACAAATAATAAAATTAAATCTTTGTTTTATATTTTGGTCAAACCGAAACTCAAATAATTAATAATAGAAAAAAAATTAAAATTTCTAACTATGTGTTTGCTTGATAGAGACGTATATGATTGAAGAAAGTGTAGACTCATCATCAACTAAGTTTCCATAACAACAATGCAAAAAGCGTTATGTTATAAGAAGCTCACACATCAGCAAAAATTTGAACCAATAAAAACATAACAATAATACATATTATTAACACACTAATAAAATCGATTTACTATTTTGCTGACCCATTAAAAAGCCCAAAGTTTACAAAAAAAAATGGAAGGCGAAAGCAAATGAGGAGAAACTCAGACCACCACAACTTGGAGATTCGCATTTCCACTGGTTACCGAGAACAAATTTTCTTGGGTTTGGCAGAAATAGAGAATTTCTTGGTTTTTGGTAGAAAAATATGATTTTTAGTTTTGGTAGGAAAACATAGTTTCTCAGTTATGGCGGAATAAAGCGAATTCTCGGGTTTTGCGGTAAAATGTGAATTTTTGGTTTTAGTGAGAAATAAAAAATTTGATTTTGACGATAAAATGCGAAGGAAATGCAACTTTTTAATTTTGACGAAAAATACGATTTCTCGGTTTTGATAGAAAATGCAATTTTCGGCTTCTGATGGATAATGTAATTTCTTGATTTTTGCGGAAAATTGTAATTTGACATTTTTGGCAGAAAATGCAATTTCTCGGGTTGATAGAAAAGCAAAATTTCTCGATTTTGGCGGGAATAAACAATTTCTTGGTTTTTATGAGAAATGCAAATTTTCAGTTTTTGACATATAATTTAATTTTTGGTTTTCGAGGGAAAATATAATTTCTTAGTTTTCGTGAAAAACGTAATTTCTCAGGAGATAATGCAATTTTTGGTTTTTACGGAAAATTGTAGTTTACCGGATTTGGTAGGAAGGCGTGATTCTTGATTTGACGAGAAAAATAATTTTTTCTTGTTTTGGTGGGAATAGACGATTTCTCGATTTTTGCGGGAAAATAATTTTTTTTGGTTTTGACGGAAAAATACTATTTTTTGTTTTCGCAAGAAGATGAAATTTTTTGGTTTTGGTGAAAAAACTTGATTTCTCTGTTTTGACGGAAAAACACAGGTTCTTGCAGGAAAATGTGATTTTTGGTTTTTTGAGAGAAAATGCAATTTCTTTGTTTTGGTAGGAAAATAAAATTTCAGGTTTGACGAGAAAATGAAACTTTTTTTTTGTTTTGGCGGGAATAGGCGATTTCTCAGTTTCGTGGGAAATAATTTTTTTTTGTTTTGTCGAAAAATGCAATTTCTCGATTTTTTTAAAAAGATAAAATTTCTCTGTACTAAATTTTCAAGTTATAATATGTTTATAGTAACCAAAATTGAATTATTTAACTTCAACTAAATTGATATTTCAACAGTTCAAATAGAACTTTCTATTTAGTTCTAAAGTAATAGTAATGATTTTGATATGAATGTTATTGATTATAATTTGGTAGTTTTAGAAACATATGTCTATAATAAATATTTGATAAATAAATAAATATTATAATTTAAAATAATCATATTAATTAATATTTTTTTAAATGGCAATTTGCTTTATATAATTTCAAAGGAGAATCAAGTAGCAATTTAGTAGAGAAAATAAATTGCATCCACCATTAGCTTGAAGGTACTTAAAAATGTATTGTTTTATTCTTACATATACATTTATAGATAGTTAGCTAAATAAATTTGATAGTAGATTATAATTTTAAAAAATAAAAAAAATTAATGATATATAATGTTTATTCAGATTTAAAACATATAAATACATAATTTAAGCTAATAAAAAATAAATATAATACTCATTTAAAATATATAAATAATTTTATTATATTAGAAATATATACAAATCTAGAAAAATATCCCGCAGCGTAGCGCAGGTAAATACCTAGTTATACATCAAAAGACGAAAGGTTTTAAAATAAAATTACTTGAGTTAAGTAAATGAAACTAAATTAGGAGTGATATAAATATGATTTTGGATTAGATTTAATTATTTTAAATGAATTTTAATATGATTTATAATAATATAAAATATATGTGTAAATGCGTTTTTCTTTATATTAGATCTATAATAATAATAATAAAAATATGTAGCTGAGTATAATAGATTTATAAATCTACTATATATTTACAAATATTCTTTATCTTCGAAAATAGTATTTTAAAATTTCCAAAAGTAAAAACTGAAGAACCAACCAAGCAAAAACAACTAAACCTCTCGATCCCATCTTTTTATCCTTATCAGAAACTTCAATCTTTGGTTTTCCTTTAGCTGAGCCAGAGAGACTTCCTAACTCTTTTCCTTGGAGGTTTCTCAAGTGTGCTTCAAGCTGTGCATTAGACCACATGGTAACCATTTGAGAAAACAAGAAAAAGTTAAGAAAGCAGAATACAAAATATTGAAGACAAAATAATACCTTTAAACGGCTTTGCACTCCCATAGTGTTGTCTAGGCCATCACCAAAAGCATCACACCGGATAGCGAGAGCAGCTTTTGCAGCTAGTGACCGTGCGATTTTACCCTTGTGCTTGGGTTCAGCTTCGCTGACCAAGGATGTGTGGTATATTAGACCGTACTTTGGAGTAGCCTGTTGGGTCTTGAGGGCTCTAAACAAGGACTTTTCAGCGCCGATAGTCTGAACAGTGCTCCCAGGTTGCTTTGCTAGGTTCAATAAACCACCACCATGAGAAATCAGGCGAGCACCGACTAGCTCGCCGACCACAGCACTTAGGTTTGGTGCAATTGTGTTCATTCTGCTCTTCAGGTAGTCATAAAGCTGAGCTCTGTACTCAGCAAGAGAAAGAACCTGGTCGCAGAGTTTCCGGATGTGCATCAAATCAAGGTCACTGACTTCAGTTCCCTTAGATATCCCAACAGTCTCTTTTAGTTCAGCTTCAACTTCATGAGCCAAAATCTGAGATAGAAAAAAAAATATGTTTTAGAAAGAGGCACAGTTAATTTCAAGAACTATGTGAAAGCAAAAAAAAAAAAAGATAAAGAAAAATCAAAGAGAATGGTAAATAGGGCTTAACCTCAGAGAAATCTAGGGTTACGGCATTAATCCGATCTCCAATTAATTTTACAGACTTGGCATATAAGATATTGTCCTTAATGATGTTAGCAAGCTCGGGAAAATGCAAACCATAACATTCACGAACCCTCTTAGCATAAGTGTTGAGTTCTTTGTCAAGATCATCAAGCAGACCAATAGCTTGGGTTACCATGGTCTCCACCTAACCAAAAAACCAAAAGAGCAAAAAGGGATGCAATTAGTTCCATGATACATCAAAACTTCGCTACATCCAACAAATCATAATACACAAGGATAAGAAATAAAATGCACTTAGAAAGGCTACCTTGTCGTCCGACTTAAGCTTGAGCTTATCTCTAGCAAGGCTGCGAGACAACACCAGATTCATTGGACCTAAGTCTTGATGATCAGGAATCAGTTCGGTAAGCTGGCTTCTCACACCACGTAACAGCTCCATAACAGCATTGTTGTGAACACACTCTATTTTCTAGAGGATTGAAGCAAAATCAGTGAGAAACAACCCATATATATACAGAAATAACCAGAAGAGTCATAATGTAAACTATAAAATATATGCACACCAGCTTCTCCTTGATGATACTTCCAAGCTCCGAATCAGCCACAGCTAAGGCTTCACATTTACAATTAGATTCTAGAAATTCGAGGAGAACTTCGCTAGGAGCTCCCTCCAGCAAATTAGCCACTATTTCAAGAGCTTCAGGAATGTTTTCAAACTTGTGAAAAGCTATTAGCTTGACCATCTGTACTAACACCAAGGTTTTATGAGAAACCTATACAAATTTAACAATATAATATAAGCAAGACACTAATTATGTACCTTTTGGGCTGACGCTGCAGATGAGAACTCCTTACCCAAATCCTACAACACCATATTGACGCACTTAGAACAAAGATAATCCATAGGGAGACCAAGTTTAAATAATTAAATAAAAATATATCTCCTATGAAGATAATAACCTCGACATTATCCAGCTTTCCTTCATCTAATAGTTTAAAAAGGGCGAACCCAGTTAGCGTCTCAAATAGTATGTGCATCTTCACAAGCTCAAATCAACACCTGAAAAACAAGATTAAGAAAACTCTTAAATCAGCTCAACGTACTGTACACATAAAAAACTCATGTTTTGGAAGCTAAAGCTATTAAGGTAGTAAAAACAACGTTCCAAGTGAAACCCTTTTCTAGGTTTACATATCAGACGACTTTCCATGAAAATAAAAAGATTGACAGAACACGAGTTAAGGCCGATTATAGTCTTGAAAACCACCACCATGACTACTACATAGCACATAGAACGTTGACAGAGAGAGAGAGAGAGGGAGAGAGAGATTCAGTACCTCGAGGATTTACGAAGCGATGCAGCGTTAGAGGGACAGAGGCAAAGAGAGAAATCAGGAGCCACGAAATTGCTAGGGTTTAACAAGGTATTATAGACTTTATAGTTTGTTGTACAAGGCTCGGATATTGCCAATGTAGTTTTTGAAACTGAAACGGTGTTACCTTGGTTGGGCCTGCTTAAAGTCAGCCCATTAAGTTGAATCTTGTCGGTTAGTACTATTGTTATCTCTTTACGAATATGGAAAATCTATTATAACCCAATATTTAACGAATGAGATCCCTAAATTGTTAAGATATGAGATCGGATCCAGAGATATGCTGAGGTTGGAGCGTTTTGGAAGGAGATAGTGAGCAAGTAATGGACCAGATTGGAGAAAAATCGTTAACATCAATGTGGCAAACTTGATTAATGATGTTAATTAGTGAGATAATAAAACAAAAACACTAAGTTGTTAGATGATAAAAAAAAACTCTATTCTTTAGACGTTACATCGTGACGAAGCTGCTCCGCTAAAACCTAACCTTTTTAATTAGGATGGGCATTGTAATTAAAAAACAGAGGAATATCGATCATGTCGTATAGAACTTTGTTCTCTTTCTTCACCGGAGATATCTGTTGATTGTCACCATTAAATCCCATTTCGCAAGTTCTTGATGCAGTTCTTGCTTGATTCAAATCTTCTATAGCATTCTTGTAATCACGTGCTTTGAGGTACTTCAAAGCTTTGGTTAACCTGTCGTAACCCTCAGAATAAAGCTTAATGCAATCACGCAACAACTTCTCACTCAACTTAGTCTTATACTTTTTTTCGTTCAGCATTTTTTCCACAATTCCTTTCACTTTCGTTATGTTCGATATAGCGTTGTTCGTACATACCACGGTCAGTTCATCGATGTTTCTTACTTTCTGGCTCTCTGGATTCTCTTTGATAGATGCGATGCAAAATTTGTAGTAGTATGGTTCCGCATTTTCTGAATTTTGCTTGCAAGATTTTTGGATCAGAGAATCTGCTACGTTATTTGCCGTGAAACCATTTAAGAAGAGAAATAACACAACGAGATAAATCAAGAACTTCATTTTTTTTCTGTCTTTTGTTTAGAGAGAATAGATTAAAGAAATACATAAACTGATTACAAATATATATATACAGAGTCGTACTACGGTATTCTATCAGTTTTAAAAACAGAATATCTACATGATACAGAATAACTCTAAACTGCAATTAAAGCCGTAATATCAGCAGTTAGTGATCTGGTGATATCTTGTTAATATGTCTTTTCAAGATGGATGACTTTTCAGGACTCTAATCTTGCTAGTAAGGTTTGTAAACGGTACTCGAGGTAGTGGTTTGCTTAAAGCGTCTGCCAACTGATCTTTAGTCGACACATGAACAACCATGAACGAACCTGAACTTGATTGAACTTGGTTTCCGATGAAGTGATAATCCAAAGCCAGATGTTTCATCCTTGAATGAAAGACTAGATTTCCACATAAGTGTGTGGCGCAAATATTATCACAATAAATCACCGGTGGCGTAGGTAGTTGAATCCCTAACTCCAAGAGTAGCGAGCAAATCCAACGCAATTCAGATAAGGTGTTTGCAACTGACCTGTATCCGGCTTCTATGGAGGAATATGAGACTCCTTTTTGTTTCTTAGAAGACCAGGCAATCGGATTATGGCCAAGGTACACGATATAAGCATTTGTTGAGACAAAGTCATCGGCATGCCCTACCCAATCTGCATCGGAGTAAGCGTGTAGCGTCCTCGGAGAATGTCACCAACGAAGAATCCCATGATCAGCTGTTCCTGCCAAATAGCGAAGTACTCATTTGACTGCCTGCCAATGGTCATGTGTAGGCATGTGCATGAACTGAGATAGCTTGTTTACTGCACAGGAGATATCCGGTCTTGTAAATCCAAAATATTGCAAACTTCCCACTATTCTGCGATATTCAGTTGGATTTGTGAAGTTGGTGCCGTTGTGTAGAGACAATTTTGGAGAAGTTGCCATGGGAGTTGTAACTGGTTTTGCCGTCAGCATGTTATGCTTTGCCAATAAATCATTTATGTATTTATGTTTACGCAAATGTAACCCTTGCGGTCCACGTTTTGCTTCAACGCCGAGAAAGTACGAGAGCTCTTCATGGTCTTTAACTGAGAACCGAGTTGCTAATGCATCCAATGTACAATATAGAAGTGTATCATCGTTGCCTGTGAGTATGATATCGTCCACATAAATGAGCATATACACAAGAGACTGACCTGCTCGGAGAATGAATAGGGAGGTGTCTGCAACCGAATTGATGAATCCAGCAGAGAGAAGATATGTTTTTAACTCCGTGTACCATGCTCGCGGAGCCTGTTTGAGACCGTAGATGGCTTTGCGAAGGCGACAGACATAGCTCGGTCTATATTTATCAATGAACCCAGGCGGTTGTTCCATGTATACTTCCTCTGCTAGGGTGCCTTGAAGAAAAGCATTATTGACATCTAGCTGTCCAATGGTCCAGGAGCGGGTTACTGCGATGTCCAGCACAAGTCGAATTGTTGTTGCTTTAATAACGGGGCTAAAGGTTTCGTAGTAGTTGATCTTATGTTGCTGATTATATCCCTTTGCGATGAGACGTGCTTTGTAGCGATTAATAGAGCCATCTGGGTTGTACTTCTTTGTGAAGATCCATTTACAGCCCACTATCGTTGTTGATGAAAGAGGAGGAGGAACTAAATCCCAACTGTGATTTCCAGTCTGAGCATTGATTTCAGCCACCATTGCTTTGCGATACCTTTCGTCATTGAGGGCATGATTAGCTGTTCTTTCTGGATCGGAGTGGGATTGAAGAGACACCGTGTTTGTGTATGTTGGATTTGGTTTGTCAATGCCATGTTTGGCACGAGTTGACATTTTGTGATCATTGTGAGCGTTGAGATGGGGATTTTATGGAAGGGGGTTTGGAGGTTTACGAGGCTTTCGAGATTTAGTGTTTGGTGGTGGTGGAGGTGGAGGGATTGAAGAAGATGAAGTGGGATTTAGCAAAGATGGCGATGGTGAAGGGTTTGTCGATTGCGACTGTGTATGGGTGTTAGAGGGGGTTATGTTTTGTGGGCTTGGTGTTTGGGCCAAAGTTGTATTTTGAGGTGGTGGTTGCTAGGTCGTGGGTTGCGGCCCATTTTATGTTGGAGCAGTAAGCTCAGATGAGGGAGAAACAGAAGGAGTTAGAAGTAAAGAAGACGATACCTGATTCTCGGTTGCGATTGTCGGCGTCGGAGGAGACGAGTGAGGGTGAAGAACTGAGTACGGAGACGTCGGAGGGGAGACACGCGGTACCACCTAATTTGGAGGATAACTCCAGGCATTCAGTGATTCCTCTGTTTCTGTTGCACCCGATTCAATTCCCATCATTCGAAATGGGAAAACATCTTCTGCAAACACGACATGTCAAGAGACATAGAGTCTATTCGATGGTGGATGAAGACAGTTGTAGGCACTCTGGGTATTGGAGTATCCCAAAAACACACATTGGAGAGATCGATCCTCAAGCTTGTGACGATTATACGGCCGAAGCCAAGGGTAGCACGCACATCCAAACACCCGCAGTTTAGCATAATTCGGAGCAATGCCAAACAGTTTATGATAAGGCGACTGAAGTGATAGAACCGGTGTAGGAAGACGATTGATCTAATACACAGCTACCGCAAATGCATAAGGCCAGTAAACTTTCGGAACCGATGCTTTTGACATAATTGTAAAGCCAGTATCAACGATGTGTCGATGTTTCTTTTCAGAAAGCCCATTGTGTTCTGGCGTGTGTGGAGGTGACGTAAAATGTGAAATCCCGTGTTGCGTGAGGTATTTTCTCATAGCTATATACTCGCCACCATTGTCAGAATAAAATGTCCCAATCTTGGTTTGAAACTGATTTTCTACGAGGGGTTTGAAGGCTATGAAGGTAGGTTTAACTTGGGATTTTTGTTTTGAAGGATAAAGCCATGTGTATCGAGTATAATGGTCTATTAGAATAAGGTAGTATTTGTAATTGTCTGTGGATAGGATAGGGAAACTCCAAACATCGGAGAAGATATACTCCAAGGGTCGTGTAGAAACGACTGTAAAAGTAGAAAATGGTAATTTATGGTTTTTATTTTGTAAGCAATCGGAGCATGATAAAATATTTTGGGATGAATGTGAAACAGGAATTGAGAAATTTTTGACAAGGCCTTGAAGAATCTGAGAAGATGGATGACCAAATCGAGAATGCCATGAAGCCAGAGACGTTTTGAAGTTGTTGTCGTAAGCATAGCTGTTGTCCTAGAGGATGTGATAGGCTATTCATATAGCTCATTCTTTGTTTGCCCTCAGAGCAATGGGACACCCGTACTCAGATCCTTCACCTGAAAAGAGGTAGAAAAGAATTCCACGGAAACATGATTAGTGTTGCACAGCTGATATACTAAGACCAGATTCTTGGCAATATCAGGTACACAAAGAACATTATTTAATCACAAATTTCGTATTGGAGAGGGAATTGATATTAAACCCTTATGTGTGATTGGCAGGTTGGAACCATCTGCAATTAGCACATCATCTCCTCCTTGATATGGCTGATGGAGAGAGAGGTTATTGAGGTCTGAAGTGATATGGTGAGTTACTCATCTGTCTACAATCCAATTATTTGCCGAGTAAGGAGATGCTTCAACTAGATTTGCACGTGGCTGCCAAGGTGTGAATGGTGTAGTGTTGGTCTGAGAGATCGTTGCTTGAAAGGCTTGAAGCTGAGGGCAGCGTTTAACACTGTGTTCTTGAGTGCTACATATCTGACATTTCCCCAGATAAGGTTTTGACGAACGTTGATGATTAGAGGTATGATTGTTGTACTGTTAAGATGACCAATTTGATAGTTGAGGTGAGTTCCAAGTGTTGTTGTTCCTAGAGCATTGATGATTTCGATTGTTGTTGTAGGTACTCCTTTGCTGCACAGCATTGGCAGTGACAGGTGTGTGGAGAATGACATTGTCAGCTGCATTAATCAATTTCACCTCTTGATTAAGCAGTTTTTCGTGCAGTTCAACAATACTTGGTGGAGGATCTTTTCCTTCAATCTGCTCTTCTTCAGGAAGACCATCGAGGATAAGCTCAATCTGGTCTTCGTGCTCCATAGCTTTGCCGAGGATGGCAAGCTGATCAACGCAAGTGGTAATACCTTGGAGGTATACGTCAATCGTCTTGTATTCTTTCTTCCAGTTTATAAGTTGAGTCTTGAGTTGTTTAATATGACCTCTGCTAGTTTTGGCATAGGTTGATGCGAGCATCTTCCATACTTCGGATGTAGATGTGGCACGAGACACTAGTGGTTGAATGGATGGAGAGATCACTCCAATTAAAGAGCTGAAGAGAAGACGGTCTTGACGCTTCCAGAGTGTGTAAGCCGGGTTCACCGAGATCTGATCTTCAAGTGTTAATGTGGGTGTAGGAACAACAGTGGATCCATCAAGATGTCCGAATATCCATCAATCAGTGCATGAATTTGGAGGCTCCACATTAAGTAATTTGTGGATGTGAGCTTTGTTACACTTGACATGTTAACGGTAAGAAGTGTGGTGGGATTGTGAATGATTGTATCAATGATGATTGTGGGAGAGGGAGAGGTATTGTCAGAAGACATGATTCAAAGGAATGTTGTAGCGAAAGAAATTTTTTGTGTTTTATGAATCGATGGCTGCTCTGATACAATATAAGATAGAGAATGTTGTGTTGTATTCCATAAACTGATTACAAGTATATTTACAGAGTCGTACTAGGGTATTTTATCAGTCTTAAATACAAAATATCTACATGATACATAATAACTCTAAACTGCAATTAGAGCTGTAATATCAACAGTTAGTGATCTGGTGATATCTTGTTAATAAAATGTAAGTCAACATAACCTTCTTTTATTAATTAACTTTAATTTCTTCTCTACTGAATTATTCATCAACAATTGAACTTTTGTATTTGAATCCTTAGCATATACACATATAGATCTCTTCGATTATAAAAAAAAAAAAAAAAAAAACGTGTTTTCTCTCTAAAAGGTAATTTTGGCGATTTAGGGTTCTCTCTTCCGCCGCTGTTGGTGTGGCTTCTCACCGCCAACGAGAATCTTCTCCTTTCTTCCTCCTCCTCCTTTCTCCTATGGTTTCGTCTCTGTTCGCTCTCCCACCGCCGCTGGTCAATCCTCCTCCAGATCCGCCGCCGGGTAAACTCTCACCAGATCTGCGTGAGGGGATCTCTCCCACTGAACCTCCAGACCCACCGGATCCTCCAGATCTGGCCGCCTCCCTCAGTCATCCTTTGGTCTTTGTCACCGCCGCCCTTAACCCCTTGATTTCACTATTCCTCTGTTTGGATCTAGGTTTTCAGCGACTCGTTAGTGAGTTTGCTTTCCTGGTCTCCTGTACGGATTCGCCTTGGGAGTTTGCGCACCTTCCTTCTGCAGTATGCAGTCCCGATTTATTGCCGCCTCTCCACCTCGAAAGCATTGATGCTGTCTCTCCACCTTCTCGCCTTGATGCCTTACTGTCTCTCATGCTTCCCCTGGTTTGCTCATACTCCTTTGTTTTAAGCTTTTTCAACTTTGGAACAGCTCTTTGTAGGATGGGTAAAGCTTGTATTGTGGAGTCTGGTTTGGGTATTTTTATTTCTGCTTCAGTGCGGCTCGTTACTGCAGTATGCAAAGTTTGTCCCTTTTTTAATTTGTCGGAAGTTTCAGGTTCTCTTCCCAAGTGGCAGAGCCCTCTTCCATTGAATCGGGTTTTGGACTTCTATAGTCCTCTCCTCTCCATCAAAGAGGTTGTTTTCCTCTCTAATATTTTATTTGTTTTGAGTGGTATTGTTTCAGGGAGCATTGTCGCTGACGGTTTCACCTCTACAACATAGACTGATATCCTTCCTCTTGGTGGTTTACTTTCTTTTGGTGATCTCGTTCAAGACAGCATAATCTGTTCTAGTGCTTTGGTCAAGTTTTTAGCTCCCAATTATCTGTGGTTGAGCTGGTTAGCTCCCATTTATCTATGTATTTCAGTTTGAGTTATTATTGTTGTCTTCACTTGTTGTGTTTTACCAATGTTGGTAAATGCTTTGTTTTGTTTGGCTTCTTATAGCCATTTGTATCTTCTTCGTTTGGAGAAACAATTCTCTTAAGTTAATGCAATTAATATGTTGGCCAAAAAAAAGATCTCTTCGATTATATGGTGGCTCGAAAAAACCCACGTAAACATGGACGGTATGGAGACGATATACATTGGTCTGTGTGTCTTTCATTAATACATTCTTTAATAACGCAATAAAAAAACATTAACCACCTAAAGCCAACGGAGACACTATACGTTGGGCTGATCGAATATATGTGCATAGTAATTAAAAGCTTCAGGAATGTCGATCATTTCGAAGAGAACATCGTTTTCTTTGGTCACCGGAGATGTCTGGTTATTATCTCCGTTGAATCCCATTTCACAAGTGCTTGGAACCGTTCTTGCGTTACCGATAGTGCTGTAAACGCTCTCGTAATCCCGTGATTTGATGTACTTCAAAGCTTTGGTTAACGAATCATTGCCCTCAGAATAAAGCTGAAGGCAATCGCGCAACGACTTCTCACTCAACTTACTCTTATACTTTCTCTCTTTCAGAATCTTTTCTACAACTCCTTTCACTTTCGTCATGTTTGACATAGCGTTGTGCACTCCTACTATGATCAAATCATCGACATTCCTCGCTTTCTGACTCTCGGGGTTTTCATTGATAGACATGAGACAAAACTTGTAGAAATGTTTCTCTTTTATTTTTGCAGCTCTCTTGCAAGAATCTCGAATTAGAGAATTTGCCACTTTGTTAGATGTGATACCATCCAAGAGGAGAAACAACACAACTAGATAAATCAAGAAATTCATTATTATTATTTTTGGAAAATAAAGCATTAGAGAGAATAGATTGAACAACTGTGGTAACTTGTGATCCAATTTATAAGAATTACAAATATCTTCGGTCATGAGAGTGTTAATCAAACACATACTTTTTTTAGATGGCTCATGTTATGCGTTACCACTCCGCTTACTTCGTTGCCACTTCCCTTAAACATAAGGCTACAGTAATTAACGAAAATCGCGGTAGACCAAAAGCAAGAGCTCAAAAACATCACAACAACAAACCCTAGCTGAAACGTTTTGGTGATTCGGTTCAAACTAGTAAAGAGCAAAATATCAAAATAATTACACATTTATATAGGGCGTGCGTGACTGATTGTGGTTTTAGTGGAAGAACATTTGTCTAGATATAATATTAAACTAAAATTATACTATTTACAATGAAAATCATGGAATAGAACTATTACTCATTCCTCTAGAAACACTGAAAATGAATCCAAAGAAAAATATTCCACTAGTAAATTGTACACACGAAAAAATGAACTGAAAATATTTCTCTGATTTCCATATTCTACATCTCATTCATTTTCGTCCCACTTACTTCTCTTGCATTATAATAGTTTTATCAATATTACAATTTTACAGAATCATGATTCTGTTATTTTGCGTTTTCTATCATTGAGAAAAAGTAAATTTCGGTGGTTTCCTAATTAAATTAATTTTCTAGGCAACATTATCAACTATAAAATGTATGTTAATTGCTCGATGTATAATATTTGGTCTGTATACTTTAATTTATTATTCTACTATAACACAATCAAAAACAGTAATCGCTTAAAACCAAGGGACTTCAGCATGGACGCTATACGGTGGGCGGATCAATATAGGCATCGAAATTAAATGACCGAGGAATGTCGACCATCTCGAAGAGAACATCGTTTTCTTCCGTCACGGGAGATGTTTGGTTATTATCGCATTGAATCCCATTTCGCAAGTTCTCGGAACAGTTAGGGCTTCGCGAATATTCTTGGAGACGTTCTTGTGATCCCGCATTTTGATGTGCGTCAAAGCTTTGGTTAACAAGTCAGTGCCCACAGAGTAAAGCTTAATGCAATCACGCATCAACTTCTCACTCAACTTACTCCTATACTTCCTCTGCATTAGCATCTTCTCCACAATTCCTTTTACGTTGGTCATGTTCGAAATAGCGTTTTTGAGTCCTATCACGATCAGATCATCGATATTTCTCACTTTCTCACTTTCTGACTCTCCGGATTTTCTTTGATAGATCCGATGCATAACTTGTAGTAATGTGGTTCTTCAGTTCTTGAAGCTTTCTTGCAAGAAGCTTGAATCAGAGAATCTGCTACTTTGTTAGCCGTGATATCATTCAAGAGGAGAAAGAATACAATGAGGTAAATCATGAAATTCATTTTTTTCTTTTCCGGGAAGGCAAACACTAGAGATAATAATAGATTGAAGAGTTTTGGTAACTTGTGATCCAATTTATAAGCAAACAAAGAACATGAAAATATTATTCAAACATTTGCTTTTTTTAGATGGCTCTTGTCACGCGTTGCCACTCCCCTTAAAAACAAGACTATAATAATTAACGAAAGTTGCGGTGGATCGAATGCATGAGCTCAAAAACATTACAACAACCCTAGCTGGAACATTTTGAACTTTTGATGATCTCCCAAATTAAAATTGAATTTGACAACTATTTTGTTTTGTAATTTACGCATGATGTAATTTGATAACTTCTCGATGTCATAATATTTTTATAAGCACGATTCTGATTTTAACTAGTCGGATCATTGGAGCAGAATGCTTATTCATTTACTAAGGGCGTAACTGGTTGTGATTTTAGTGGAGTAATTAATATACAGTCGAATAAAAACATCTAGCTAAACTTTTACCATTAAAAAAAACTCGTACCATTTAAAACGAAAATCATGGAATACTTTAAGAAATTCATAATTTCTTAATGAAGTCAATTTTCTTGTCGACATTATCAACTAGAAAATGTATGCTAACTACAACTTTTAGATGTATAATACTTTTTTTTCTATATACTTATAGTATAACAATTTGCATTTTTATGAAAGAGCTAAACATCACTTGAATTGTTACACGATCATACTTATAATACATATTTTTAAACATATATATATACCAACGAAAATTTTCTTCTCCTCAATTTCTCCTTAATTTTTCCACGCAAATAAAAAACAGAAATATTATTACTTTGTTTTTGTGTTATTTTTTTTTTCACTTATACTTTGAGATTGTTGAAGTGGTCGCACCTACGTCTCACCTCTCCTGCTCCATCGCCCTTGACGCCGACCGTGCCAAGTTTCTCCATCGCACGTGCGAAATCCTCAAAGAATACCTTCTCGTTAGTCGCGTAAAGGTCAACGAACGGTTTCGTGTTATTGTTTTTAATAAGGATGTGGTCAGAAGCCAATAGCCCTAGCCCTCGTTTCAGGTTCTTGAAGTACATGTTGTCGAATTTTCCAGGAGTCATCACGTCGTTAAACGCCGCGATTGTGTCGTCCACGGTGTGGTTCTTGCATAGGTCTTTTAGAGCGGTCGCGAATCGCGGGTTGATCTCTGGATCGGCTTTTGATCCGTAGAGACGGTCACTAAACTCTTTGCAGTGAGAGAATCCGATTGTGTGAGCTCCGCTTAATGCAACCATCTCGCGAATGCTAAAACCGTTTTTCTTGAATATCCCGTGGATGTCGCGGACCGTCTGATTAGCCATCGGGACGTTTCCACGGACTTTATGGGCTTTGGATTCGAGCCCGTCTTTACGACCGAGCTTCACGTTGAAGTAAGGTCCTCCAACCATCGTGACTAGGTCACGTGTAGCCTGTGCCAAGATATCAGCGCATGATACCACACCGGGACAAGACAGCTCGAGGGCTGTCTTGATGCGGGTGACAATGTCGAAAGCATCTCCTGGTAGAGAGTCGTTGAGATCATCGTCACGTTCCGCTTTGTTAAACGAGTTTGTCGCTATCAAAACGGAACCATCGCAACCTTCGAGGAAACAATCGTGGAAAAAGAGACGGAGTGTCCCGGCCGCTGTTGTCGGTTGCTGAAGTTGCTTGGCTGTAACGGCTTCACGCACGATTTTGTTGAAATCGGGACATGTTTTTTGGTAATAGTCTGTTCTCAGGATAGCTACATCGGCCGATACGGCTGATACGGCGACAAAGAGAACAGAGAGGAGAACGAAGGGGTTAGGACTACGAGAGACGCGCATATTTGACGTTAGGTAACGAGAAATAAGAATCGAATTTGAGAGATATGTCTACGAGGTAGACTTCTCTACGATCGATTATAGTCGAAAAGCAATTAGAATCGAAGAAGAATAAGAAAGGACTTTGCGACTATTTCATGGCTTAGGAGGTTACCAAGTAGAGGCTACGTCAATGGATGGTTTTCATTTCCTTTTATGTACGTGTGGTTGTTTTTTGTTTTTTTGTTTTCTAATTTTGTAGTTTATCTATTTTTTTGTATGGTTTAAGTTGCTCCGAATCTGGTTTCTTAATTTGTTTTTGGTATACATAAATACTGGCGTAAAATAGGAGGAAATGTTTGGTTATTCGTTTGTATACATGAATTCCGAATTTGTTTTAGAAAATTGCGTACATTCGATGAGTATGATATATATAAATTTAGATGAGAAAATAATAGTATCCGTATTGATTATCTAACTCATTATTTGTTTAGGGTCCCCCAACTCCCCATTTGTTAACTAGTCTCTATACTTCTGCATGTCCTAAATTTGTAGGAATTGTTTTTACTAGTACTACACTCACGTCACTCTCTTCCCCGTTCGTGATCGGGATTAAAATATTAAAATATGCTTTATTCGAAAATGTAATTATAGATGATATATATGACTTTTAATTTTTATATACTGTATTGTTTGAGTGAACAGGAGGAAAACTTACAACATAATGTATATTTCAAAGAGTCGTATTCTGTTAAAACAGCTAACCATATAGTTAGTTATTTAGTTATTTGTTTGGTGTAATAGTGTTCATAATCACAAGTACCCATAAGTGACATAATAGAATAATTCCATTTTCCATCAAGTTTGATTAGTTAAGTATGTAGCTTTATATTTTGTGCTGTATAATTAAAGTTGTAAGCTTTTGGCTGTGACTCCAGATTTTAATGATGTATGATTTTTAATAATTTATTTTATACTTTTTTCAAATATTTTGCACTAGACAGTAAAAATAGAGAAAAAGAAAGAAACAACAATATATTTTTTTAAAAAAATCTATCCATTACATATTATTTGAGAAGTAACATTATTGAAAATAGTTGATTTGTCAACATTACAACCAAAGTTAGTGCTTTTAATTGATGACATGTAAATGTGACATATCAAACTTCCTAAAATAAACGAAATATTTTGATTGGTTGAATTAAAATTCTAGAAATTGTGAAATTAAAACATAAATAAATTAGATTATATTTATAACACTAAAATTAACAAAATTAAATTAACAGAAAATAAAATTTATTATAATTTCAAATTTTTACATATATTCATAATTTCATAAAATATAATTATGAATTTTTTTCAACAATATATATATATATATTATAATTTCATATAAAAACCAAAAAAATACTAAATTATGCAATAGAATAATAAAAATTCTATTATTAATAATACTTGAAGTATGATATATTTTAATTTTGAAAAGTTATTAATTTTAAAAAATATATTAATAACATCTAAACAAATTTTAAATAAACAAATTATTAAATAATACATTTTTAACTAAAATACAAACATGATAAAAATAATTTAAAGAATAAAATGTTAAAAATAATAAAAAATAATCAACTTTTATTGATTTTTTTTTAAAAAACTTAATTTTAAATAAATTTTCTTTTTAAACCAATATTTACTAAATGAATAAAGTATATACTAATTATTATTTTATAATATTAATAGGACCATATATTTTTCTATAACTTTTATCATCTTTTTATTGTTATTTTCTAAAATATACATAACTTATGTTACCATCTCATCTTATCTCTTATCATATTTTAAATAAAAATGAATTTTATATCATATTCATATATATATATATATACATAAATTTATTTTCATTGTAAATCAAAATTTTGAGAACAAATATAAAATGAAAAATAACCGAACGAAAGATTAAATTATAATAAGATGAAACAATATGAATAAGAAATAAAAATAGAAGTATATAAAAATAAATCTCTCGCACTTTTTTTTACAAAGTCACTTAAAAACTTTTTAACACGTAAGAGCCATATTTCATTTTTTTTACAAATACGCGTACATACATAAATATTAATTGTACATTAGTTGAAGTCACATGCGAACTTTTTCGTGCATGTATTGTGTTAAGATTGATTACAATCTAATTTTTATTTTAATTATTATACAATTTATATATTTT